ACAGAATCCAGAATATACTCCTAGAAAATCCATGGTCCTCAGGATTCCTGGTTGACCTAGTCTGGTAGGGATGATAGTGACAGCTATGGTATATTGACTGCTTACTATGTTCTAGGCCCTCTTCCAGGATCTATAAATACTTGTCTCATTTAAACCTCACAACAAAATTATCTTCATTTTATAGATGAGAAAACGAATTTAGAAGAGCAGTCTAAGATATAGTTAGTAGTGATATTTCTGGAACTGATAACCCAGTCCACTCTGATTCCAAAGTCTTAGTTTGTAATCCCTATCCTCTACTGCCACCTGGATTCCCACGTAACTTAGGAGCCTGGGCTATGCATAAACTTCTCTACGGCACCAGTGCCTTGCGTGATACTTGGCATTAAGCAAAAACAAGTTGTGATTGAGTCGATTCTAATGCACAGTGACCCTATATGTGTCAGAGTAGAACTGTGCTCCATGGCTGATTTTTCAGAAGTAGATCCCTAGGCCTTTCATCCAAGGTACCTCTGGGTGGACTGGGATCATCACACTTCCTATTTAAATAATTATAAATACTTTGAAAGGTGTTCATGTAATATTTATCTGGCTTACTTGTCAGCATATTTCTGTCAGCTAAGTATGTTAGGTATCACACTCATTTGGTAAAGTGATCTGCCAGAAAGTGGCTAGAACTAAAACTTAGATCTCTGGACTTCTAAACTGTGTAAAAAGGTTCAAAAAGAATGAGGAAAGAACTAATTTTCACTTGCTGTGTAGAATGCTTAGTAGTAACTGCTTGCTAGCAGTTATAGGAAAATATTGCAACGCAATTGCTGTCCTTGCTCACTTCTGCTTCTTTCAACTCTCTCTTCTTGTGTTTCTTTTTCCTAGCAAAAAAATTAAAGTGAGATTCTTTGATTTCACTTCTTTTATTACCTTCCTCTGTTCTTGAAAAAAAAAAAGACTGTTAAAAAAAAAAGAACAGAAAATAATGTTTCTAAGTCATTGTGAGGCATAGTATTTATAAGAAATGTAAAGTTCTTTTTAGATACTTCCTCCTACACCTCTTGATTTTATTTCCACGTGACTCCAGAAAAGGCTTCCTTTTAGAAAGCAGTACTAAAACTAGTCAACCACACTGACAGGAATTTGTAGAATCTTTATTTACTTTCAACTCATTGCAATCATGACCTAAGTTGATTGTCACCAAAGTACATCAAATAGAGAGCATTTAGCAATAACCCTCTAAATTATGCTCTTTTGAGGGTTCTCGTGAACAAGCGCTTTCTTTTTCTTTTTCTAAATTTTATTTATTTTGTTGTTGTTGAGAATATACACAACAAAACATACACCAATTCAAAAGTTTCTACATGTACAGTTCTGTGACACTGATTACATTCTCCAAGTTGTGCAACTGTTCTCACCCTCCTTTTCTGAGTCGTTCCTTCTTCATTAACATAAACTCACTGCCCCTAAGGTTCCTATCTCATCTTTCAAGTTGCTGTTGTCAGTTTGATCCCATATAATAGTTCTTAAAAGAGCATAATTCTCAAGGCAGACATTTTTTACTAGTTAAGCTAAACTATTGTTTGGTTTTAATATGACTTCAGGGGATATTTTTGGTTTAAGTTTTAAAGATTATCTCGGGGCAGTAGTTTCAGGGGTTCATCCACCCTCTATGGCTCTAGGAAGTCTAACATCTACAAAAATTTGAATTCTTTTCTACATCCCCCTCCCCCTTTTGATCAGGATTTTTCTACGGACTCTGATCAAAATGTTCAGTAATTGTAGTTGGGCACCGTTCTGTTCTACTGGTCTCATGGCAAAGGAGGCAGTTGTTCATGGAGGCAATTAGCCACTCATTCCATATCCTCTTCTTATTCCTGACTCTCCTTTTTCTTCTTTTGCTCCAGGTGAATAGAGACCAATTGTTGTGCTTTGGATGACTGCTTGCAAGCTTTTAAGACCCCAGGCACTACACAATGAACAAGGAGGTAGAACAGACGCACTAAACACGTTATTAGGCCAATTAACTGGCATGTCCCATGAAACCATGACCCTAAATCTCCAAACCAAGGAACCAAATCCCATGAGGTGTTTGGCTGCACTTAACACTGATAGTGGACTGAACATGTATGTCCCTTGTACATTTAAATATTGTACATGTGATTAACTTACATTTCATTTAATTTGTATCTTTTTATTGAAGTAAAAAATTCTGTTTCAACCCAAGTGGCCTTTCAGAGATTTCTTCTACACTTTAAGAAAAGTGAACATTTAGGTCTAATGATACAAACTAATTCATATGAATACAGAATTATGTTTCTGTGCAAAAAATTCTCTAGCTGGGCAACTAGAATTTGAAAAATTAAAAAAAAAAGTGGTGCCAAGGGACCCTCCATGAAGTGTGGTTACATTAAACAAAATAAAAACAAAGTGCTCTTTGGAATGTGTGATTAATAATAATGAATAATAATAAAATATAAAGATGATGGTGGTGATGATGATGATGAATTAGTTGAAATGGTATTCATCATCATGGTTGAAGAAGTTCCTCTACCACCTACATTTCCCTTCATCTGCTTCTGGCAGGAGGGAGGTGGCCGCGGTACCCAGCCTACACTCTGGGAAGTGAGACAGTGAGACATGAAGAGGCTTGTGTGCTTCCTTTTTGCAGATTCATCTGGACAGTTTCCTTGGAACCTAACCTCTCTCTCCCTCCTGGAAGAGGTGCAGCTGCTGTTCTTATAGGAAAGCCCTGCTTTTTTTTTTTTTTAATTCTTAGTTCTAAAGATAAAAGTCTCTCTGCTTGCTTCTCTCTTATCTCAAAAGAGATTTGCTTAAGACACAACCTAATCTTGTAGATTGAGTCCTGCCTCATTAACATAACTGCCTCTAATCCTGTCTCATTAACCTCATAGAGTCAGGATTTATAACACATAAGATAATCACATCAGATGACAAAATGGTGGGCAATCACACAGTACTGGGAATCGTGGCCTAGCCAAGTTGACACATGTTTTGGGAGGACACAATTCAATCCATGACAATCAATTATTCCCCATTCCTTCTATGTTTATTTTGCCAATAAGCTTCCTGACAGTATTGGCAGTTTAGGAATTATTTTAAAAGCCATGGTTAATTTACGATCAACTGCGTCCCAAAAAGACCATTGCTGTTGTGTCAATTCTGACTCATAGCGATCCCATAGGACAGAGTGGAACTGTCCCATAGGGTTTGTAAGACTGTAATCTTTATGGAAGCAGACTGCCACATTTTTCTCCCATGGAGTGGCTGGTGGGTTGGAATTGGTGACCTTTCAGTTAGCAGCTGAGTGCTTAGCCACTATGCCACCAGGGCTCCTTGATCACTGCATAGAAACTCCCAATTGGAAAAGATTATATATTGTATATTGATCACAGGTTGTAGTCGCAAGGTTTCAAAGAAAGACTATAGAGAGAATGCATTGTATAGATGCAGAAAGTTGTGTTCAAACCTTCGGTGTATTTCTTTCAGTAGTAGTTATCTTTGAGCAGAAGAAAAAGATCTGGGTTTTTTAAGACTGTACCTTAAGAAAGTGACATTTGTTGTAAAGTAAGTGTTTTAAGACCAATTCACATTTTCCCTGCATTTGAAATATATGAAACAATGATTTATTTTCTTGCATTTAAACATTGAGGTTTGGTCTAAAAATTTGGCATAGTTTCAAATCTCAAAAACAAAACAAAACAAAATACAAAGATAATACAACATCTAACTTTCATTTTATACAGTATCTTGTCAAGGATATTTTTAGAGCACCTAATGTACACACACACACGCACACATATATGTTTTATATATATATATATGACAAGGGATTCTAAGGCACAGTACTTACCCTTGAGTTAATAATGTAGAGGGCCATTTCCGAGCTATTTGTGGGATCCAAAACTGATTTTTGAAGTCCCTGGCTAGTGTAAATGGTTAACGTGCTCAGCTGCTAACCAAAAGGTTGGAGGTTTGAGTCAACCCAGAGGTGCCTCAGAATCAAAGTCTGGCAATCTACCTCCAAAAAATCAGCCATTGAAAACTCTGTGGAGCACATTTCTACTCTAACACACATGGGGTCTCCATGAATCGAAATAGACTTGGCAGCAACTGTTTTTTTTTTAAACTGGTAAACTGATTTTTAATTTAAAAATGTGTTTTATTTATACTTTGCCCCCAAATGCTAAAAATCAAACAACTGAGACAGAAAACCACATCACCATTTGAATCAGAGAGCCTTTAACAAGGCCTGCCAGGATTTAGTGGCAGATGCCACAGGAGCGAGAAAACCAACTTTCCTCTTTTCCCATTGTATTTTAGGAGTCGAATTAAAACCAACCCACTGGACCATAAGGCAGGTAGTAAAGATCTGAAGGAGATTTACTGCTATCATCCCAGTACCTAGGGATCAAATGTTCACTGTAAGAAACTTCCCTGTTTCCTTATGACCTAGAAGGCATTTTTCCTAACCAGTTTAGAGTGTAAACCAACATCTGATAATATCGCTAAAGTAAGCAGACTATCAGTTCCGCAGTTGGTGCAAATCTGTGGTTCTGGGAAGAAACTTACCTGAGAGCCCTAGTCTTCTTGGAAGTTCTCCCCACCCTGGTCTCCAGTTAATTATAAGATTTACAGATGATGTCAAACAGGTACCTCGAGAATAACAGCTAAGTGTAAATTTAATTGTGACTCGAGGGTGCTAAAAGAGCATTCAAAGTGGGAACTGGGAGAGTTTAAGTCAAGATGGAGTAAACACTGAGATCATTTCTGTCATGAGACTGACCCAGTTCCCACCACTACCTTCTAAAATATTTCACATCTTTACAGCAATAATCGACAACAAACTTGATTAGTTATATAAGAGTGAGGACAATCAAAGAAAATTTGAAGGTAGACTTGACAAATGAAGGAATAAGTGACAAAACTCAGCCATCAGTTACCTTGTTAAAGACGAATTAAGACACAGAAGCTCTTTGTGCACTTACTTGGACTATTGCCATCTTTCTGCGGTGCACAGGGGAAGGAAGAGTTGTGCCACTCTAACCAAGCTGATTCTCTTGAGGTTGAGTCGCCTGGGCTTCCGCTGAACTCTGAGCACCTACATGTGTGAAGATTCCTCGCCTTCTGTCCTTGCTCTGTGAGTCACATCTGTTGTGACACTGCATGATGACTAAATGGCTCTTTAAAGGGTGAAGGAAGCCAAGAAGCTGTGGGTCACATGTTTCTAAAGCAAGCAGCAGTATAGTAGATTTTTATCTAGCAACTTTTAGAGGAAACTTAAAAATGATCATAACATTCCTTTAGCTGTGGCACACTCTCTCAACCAAATCCAGCAGTCGAAAGAAATAATGTAACATGGAAGCATTTTGTAAACGGCCTGGTGCATTGGAAATAAAAGCTGTTTCAATAATTTTTGAATTATGCTTATCGTTTGTGATCTTCAGTTTGTTTCTGTTGCCTGATCTTTTGTTTTTCTGTTAACACACCTTTGCTTATTTAGCATGTCTTCCGTCCTAAGAGAGTAGGTAGGGAAAATCAATCACTGATGATTCTTTTTTAGCTTTTTTTTTTTTAAGCTTGGTGAGCAAGGATATCAACATAATTTAATGAAATGAGGTTTTGGAATTATTTATGGATCTTAATTTGTGTTTCAAGGCACAATAAGGAGATCTTATTAAAGAAGTCTTAGAACTGAGACCACTGAGAACAGGAATGCACGCTCCCCCGACCTACTGGCCAGGGTTGTTGAGTCTGCTTCACCAGGTTTCCCACAGCTGACCTGGCATGTCCTGGGATTGCAGGCAACGAGGAGAGGAGATGGTGCTCTGACCCCTCCCCCCACCTGCCACCCCACTCCCACATTAGTCACACCTGCAGGTACAAACTGTGCTTCACTGATTTTGTTTCCAGCTTCCTTTTATACCACATTATCACCATACATGTCAGGTTTCCCAGGCTCCTGAGTTTCTTCTTTGAAAAATGTAGTTTATTATGGATCAGCTGGGGGTGAGTGAATGAATGAATGAATGTGTCTGTCCAGGTAAAGTCTAGACACTGCTATCACCCTTTAAATTCGAGATCTTTTTTCTCCAATAGAACAAAAAGCCAAGATTGGAATTTACTCAGGTAAAGACTTAGGATGTTAAAAAATGTGCCAAATATACCAATTCCCCTTTAATATTCTTCATGTGTATTTAAGTCAAAGTAAGGCTTAAATACAAAACCTCTTAGAGAAATTCTATATTGATTTAAATACACATGAAGAAATGTATAAATAATTAATATTGGACCCTTCCTGTAAGCAGGTTGTAGGGGAGAGCCTCAGGCCCTTAGGTGGTCATGGCAGTGGCGAAGAGAAGTGACTTCCCGCACCCTCCGGAAAAAGGCTGTAAAAACAGTGTTTTGCTTACTTAATAAGTTTGCCTAGTGGCAGCCCTGTTTGGAAAACTTCTGAAGTAGATTTTTAAAAAACTCAAATGTTTAGACTTATTTGCATATTGGGAACTAGAATTCTTTCCATCTATCTGGCGTATCCCTCAGTTCCAGTCTACCCAATTCGAGAGTTCGGTTTCTGTAGCTAGCACCAATGTTGGAATACTCACTCCCCTTGTCAAATGGTCCTATTCAGGTGTTCGGTTAGTGGAATCATTTGTTAGTGGTGCCTTATCCAGACTGTAACTATACCCATGTTCAAATTCACATCTTAAGTGCTAAGTTATCTTTCCTTCTACACTTTTAATATGCAACCCATGAAAGTGGCTACTTCAGAACTCTAGTATATTGGACTTCTGGTCATCCAGGGTGATTAAAAAAAAAAAATCCAGAACTGGAATTGCCATTCAGTTTCTTTCCTGATTCCCTTTTGAAAAGAAGATTGCACTATGGATTTCATTCAAATGTAATTTTCAACTTTGATAATTGGATTGAAATGATATGGGGTAAGGCTAGAAACTGCCATAGACAAAACACGAAAGGTATGATTCTCCTTATTTTCTTTTTCTACAGCTATGTGCCTCCCATGTTTCCCTCCATACTTTTGCTCAAGAGTACCTTCTCTACTTTTTTCAGACACCAAAATACAAGGAGAGTATCCAGACCCAGAGTCTTCTCAGACGATATACATTGGGCTTCTTGCAACTGTGCTGTTCTAGGGATGGTCCTAGTCACATATAATCCTGAAAAGAAAGTCAAGTGGAGGAAAGTTCTTACCCCATCACAGTAGGCTGTGGAGGAGTCAACTTCCGGAGTATGTCTGGTATCACCCTTGTAAGAGAGACTGGCCAGGAGGGTGAGGCTTTTTATGGAGTATGCACGGTGGGCTCCTTCCCGGCATGATAATAAATCCTGTCTCCAAGGTCACTAGCTAGTGGAGTGTGTTTCTCTGAATAACTATGAATTGGTGTTATGAATGCGTGTTTTAAGAAGTTATTTTCTATTTTCTTCCCCCTCCTTTGGCAACAGATAGCTCTTTTATTTCAAATATAAAGTGAAAGCTGTCGCTTGGTTCTCCTTTTTAAATTAACAACCCCTTTGACATGAGAGTAGCTGAACTGCAAATGCTGTACATAAATGTATAGCTAGGCTTGGTCACAACTACAGGCTTCGTACTCATTTAGTTTTTCATGAGCCTCCCAACTGTAAGATGAACCTAGGCTAATCTTTTGTTCCCTTATACTGTAAGGGCCTTAGATATACTAATAGTTAGGGACTGAGTCATGGGGACATTTGATAGATTCTTTGGAGAGAGATTTTTCTTATTTGCACAGCACATATTCTTTTAGCTTACTCAAACAAGAGGTCTTGGCTGGAAAGGTAGGAGGGTATTATCTTGGGTGGGGATATTATCTCAGATGGCCCTAGTTATGCAAAGGTAGATGGACCAAGAGAGACAATGCGTGAGAGTGGAGGTAAAGGATGACCAGAAGCCCTAAGAATTCCTGGCAAGAAGGAAATTTGAGAGAAATAAGGGTGGAGGCTTAGTAAGAAACACATGACTCTTACCGGGAAAAAGGAGGTGGTTACTTGTTTTGTTGTTAACTACCTCAGGTAGAGCATTAAAAACAACTTCCCTGGCTTAAGAATGATCCTTTTGCTAAGTTTCCTGGTGTCCTCCAAACTTCTCTTTCCCAGAATCTTAACTGAGATGGGTAAATTCTCCAGTGAAATTAAGAGCAGATGCTAGATACACATGATTGTGTAATATGCAGTACCAGCCAGTAGGAAAAGAGCTTCCTGGACTCCATGAAATGGAGAGGAAGTAAAATAACTCAACAGTTAGAGGGTCTTCAGACCCTATTTTGGGAGCATTCTGAACTGTTTGTTCTGTGTCAGGCTCAGGAGATACAAAGATGAATAGACAGGACCTTTTCCATTGAGGAATCATTTACCATTAGCTCATTAATTCCTAGTTAAAGAATCTCACGGAGCTTTTTCCTCTTCTTGTGTGACCCCTGCTCCTTACTGCCTCCCAACCACAACTCCCATTTGTGGCTATTTTTTTTTTTTCTCCTTGAAACTGTTCTAGATTGTGGAGAAAGGATGATCTCATCCTTTGCTGGTGGATATTTTTATTTCTAACAGATGTTTTTGAAAGCTATTCAGAAACATCAACTAAAATATCCAGAAATCCCACTACTGGGAATCCATCGTATAAAAATAAAAGCTAGTATGTAAGTACATATGAATAGGCTGTGGCAGAAAGAACTGGGAGTAAAAGTGAGCGTCCACCAGTAGTGGGATGGCTGAGTAAATCATGCACAAAATGGAATACAATTTTGTAGCCATCAAAAAGAGCAAACTAGAGCTCTACCACTTGACTAGGAAGGCTTTCCATGATCTCATTTTTGTAAAGCAAATAGGGAATCTCTATATGTGTGTGTCTTAGTTATTCAGTGCTGCCATAACAGAAACACCACAAGTGGATGACTTTAACAAGCAGAAATTTATTCTCTCACAATCTAGGAGGCTAGAAGTCTGAATTCAGGGCACCAGCTCCAGGTGAAGGCTCTTTCTCTCTCTGTTGGTTCTAGGGGAGTGTCATTGTCATCAATCCTCACCTGATCTAGGAGCTTCTCAGCACAGGGACCCCAGGTCCAAAGGACACACTCTATTCCTGGTGCTTTCTTGTAGTATAAGGTTTCTTTCTACTCACTTCTCTCTCCTTTTATCTATTGTAAGATAAAAGATGATGCAGGCCACACCCCAAGGAAATTCCCCTTACACCCCGTCAGGGCTGTAACCTGAGTAAGGGTGTTGCATCCCACCTTAATCCTGTTTAACATAACCTGATCTTGTCTCATTAACCACAAGCAGAGATTAGGATTTACAATACATAGGAAAATTACATCAGATCACAAAATGGAGGACAACCACACAATACTTGGAATCATGGCCTAGGCAAGTTGACACACATTTTTGGAGACACAATTCAATCCATGACAGTGTGTATCTGTATGGACATATTTAAGTGAACATGGAGAAAACATGGTGGGATATGCAGTGGCTTATTAATATGGATTATTTATAGATATGTGGTGTTGGTGAAACAAAGGAGAGGATGAGGCACGTGAAAAAGGAAAAGATATAAAGAAAAATGCACTGAAAATGATATGTTCCAACACAATGCCATCTATAAAAAAATCTTGCCCCCCTCTAAAAAAAAATCATCGAATCCAATCAAGCTTTTAGATCCAATTACCAAGTTACAGGAAATACAGAAGGTAGAGGAAATGTGTTCAATTACACCACAGAAGTGTAATCGGCAAGCCAGATAAGAGGGGAATTCTTAAGGACAAGCAAGTTGATTTCTTTAATAAAAATACATCACAAGAGAAACAAAAAGAGATGGATAGGAAGTCTGTCTTGGTTATCTAGTGCTGCTCTAACAGAAATGCCTCAGTGGATGGCCTTAACAAAGAGAGATTTATTTTCTCACAGTCTAGTAGGCCGGAAGTCCAAATTCAGGGCGTCAGCTCCAGGGGAAGGCTTTCTCTCTCTATTGGCTCCAGAAGAAGGTCCTTGTCCTCAGTCTTCCCCTGGTTGAGGAGCTTCTCAGGCTCAGGGACCCTGGGTCCAAAGGACACGCTCTGCTCCCAGTGCTGCTTTCTTGGTGGTATGATGTCCTCAACTTTCTGCTTGCTTCCCTTTCCTTTTATCTCTTGAGAGATGAAAGGTGATGCAGGCCACACCTCAGAGAAACTCCCTTTACATCAGATCAAGGATGTGACCTGGGTAAGAGTGGTGTTACAATCCCACCCTAATCCTCTTTAATGTAAAATTACAATCACAAAATGCAGGACAACCACAGAACACTGGGAATCATGGCCTAACCAAATTGATACACACATTTTTGGGGGGGACATAATTCAATCCATGACAGAGCTAATGTGTGGGCCATATTTGGATCCTAATTCAAATGAACAAACTTTAAAACAACAACAAATCAATTTATGACAACTTTTATGAGATAACTGGAAATTTAAATACTGTATACTTGATGATATTAAATAATTATGGTTAAATTTTTTAAATGTGATAATGGTATTCTGTTATTAAAAAAACAAAGTCCT